AAATGACCAGGATCAAGTCATGTGCACAACGAAACAACTCAACTGCGAAATTGTTAATATTATGCTCCTCAAAACGCTACTTTTGCTATCTGCTCTTTGGTTTTTTGCTAGTTATGTACCACCGTTTACAGAAAAAAAAACTGGAATCAATACGAAACAAGTTGCTATACACTACTACAAGATTGCTATTGTTGTGCAACTGGAGCTGCTACTAGCGCTTCATTTGGAAAACCCGCTGTTTGGTTTTTTGTGCTAATATTGTGCTACTACATAAACATTTTACAAAAGATACCAGGATTAAGTGATGTGCACTATGAACCTAGCATAACATTGTTAGTTTTGTGCTATTACACAACTACGAAATTGCTAAGTTTGTGCTACCGTAGTTTTGTGCTAGTTTTGTGCTACTATACCTTTTACAGAAAAAAATGGTCCGGAGGAAGTGATTTATTTCAAGTTTTCTTAAAGTTCTTTTGAAATTCTTCTATACTCTTTATAGTCTAAAACCCCTAGCTTCTAAGTAGTTTTCATCTCACGGTGTTCCATTTTTGATTTTCAGTAGAAAGCTCTTTTTGAGTACCATTTATACATTTTTTTTAGTTTGCTTTTGTACCATTTCAGTAGATCAATATTTTGATGGATTATTGTGGAGCGCTCTCGATAGATGCTTTATCAAAATTAAACACAGCTGTTTTTTTGTTTATGTTTTTTTGTTCTTTTTACGATTGCGAAAAGAAATCGATAGCGTATATTTACAGCTTTGCGTAAGATAATTGTGTGTGTGCGCAATACACGCCCATCACGGCAAGTTTGGAAAGTGTCCACCAAGGTCATCGGTTTCTTTATTGTTTACAAGGTCACGAGGTTGTTGCTTTGCAGATTGGGCTTGATAAACGCAAGACTTTCCTTTTATCTCACACAAAAGTGCAATTTCGGAACCACCTGAACTTTTGGGTTATAGAGTTGGTTAGCGCTTCACTAGTAATTTACTAGTTTTACTAGCTCACTTTAATAGCTGTCCCCTAAGGTATTGGAATAGTATCGAACATTTCCACCGGGACTATCTATACTAGTTTCGGCAAATTTATAACAGTTACTAGTAATACTAGGTTTACTAGCTCGCTTTACTAGCAGTCCCATCTCTACACTTACTAGACTTAGCATTTCTGACTTCAAGAACCCTGTCTTTGGAGAAAGTCAGGTTTCTGGTTCATCAAACGTTCCTGGAAGGTTTTTTAAAATTCTCGTCTGACTTTTCAAAGGTCGTCTGGAGATCTTCGAGAGCCATTGAAGAACTTATGAATCAATAATAATTTCCTGAAGAATATCTTTGAAGAAGCATTTAAAAAAGGATTCAGTGGAAGATTCTTTAACAAATACCTGACTAGTCCTTGAGTAATCTAAATCAAAAATCATTTGATTATAAATTAATCTTTGAGTGTTTTCCAAGGTTCTAAAAATTCGGTTTTCAAAATTCTTCATTACCACTATCTCGGTATTTCCATTGACTGATTGGTATTGATTGATGTAGAGCATCAAAACAAAAACAACCGCTCGACACTTTGTGTTTTTCTATGGGCGTGTATTGCGCATATAAATCTGCATGGAATTATAAATAAGAGCAGCTTATCGAACTTTCACAATTACGTTTGAACGATAAGTGGAAAAAAAATTATTTTTGGACAATACTGGTTGATAAGCGCGAGAAGTGCTACAAAGTAATCATTTTCATTGCATCAGCTGAATATGAGCTAAGTGTAAAGATTTATTTATCTCTAGGATGACTAAGACCATGTCCCTTGGAAACGGTTCGTAATCTTCGTGTAGATCAAAAAAGATTGCAAGAGCTCTCTGATAACGAATCGCAAAACAGCAACGGAATCTAAAAAAAAGGACCCATGAAATCAAACCAAGAGTTCTGATAACTTTTTCATTATCTACCAGTTTTTCTTCTTGAAGAATACACCCGAAATCTGAACACTAAATCATGGTACCCACAAAAATTAGAAGAGTTCTTCTCATTTTCGAAGAAAAGTCACTTAAAGCCCCTCCTTCAAACAAGTTTTTTTGGAAATTGTTCACATTCTTCTCCATGTGTAACCACACATTTCCAGGATTCCGTTCCTATCCTCTGTCTCCTGCTTTCGGACTTCAGTTGCCCAGTTGCAGATCCCCTTCCCCCTTTTTTGTACTCAAATTTTCGGTTTTTGGTTTCCATTCTCCAATCTAAAACTTTGACAAGAATCTTCCAGTTGTTTGTTTCCTGTACCTACTGTCTGCTACTCAGAAATTTAAAGCGCAACTTTTAGCTGAGGAGAATTTGAAAAAACTGAAAATGGAATGATTTTGAATTTCAAAAATTGAAAGAACTGGAATAATACGACGAAGGTAAAGAACCTTACGACTTGCCATCGTGGGTTCTGCCGCCATCTTGGACGGTATCTTCGCCGCCATCTTGGCCGTCATTTTGGACGCCATCTTGGCCGGCATTTTGATCAGCCATCTTAGAGGCCATCTTTGTCAGTCATTTTGGACGCCATCTTGGCCAGCCATCTTGGAATCGTCAGCTTCTTGTCGACTTATTGTAGACGTCTTTGAGTCCTTAACGTCGCGAGTACAAGCGGACTTTTTCGACGCATAAATTAGAGTTGATCAATAAAAAAAAATTTGAAAGCGAAAACTAACCAGTTTCGACGTGTAACCTCGTACTCGTTTAGCCTTTAATATCTCATATTGCGGAAACGGAAAGCTAGGTTGAATGCAGCCGATATAAATAGAAAGTTCATTGTCGGATCCTTTCCGTCCGAAAAGGGAGTCGTAAACCTGGATTTTGCCATGTAGAATCCATAATTTCAAACAGTTCCAAGATTGGACTACTAGATCAAAAGTTACAGCCCTTTGAATTCGAAATTGGTTTCTAATCCATAACCTTTGATTGAGAGTTCTAATCGAAAAAGTACGAATCGTTTTGGATTCTACGCACCAAAATTAATAAGAAAAAGTGTTTTCCCGAGAAATTTTGGTGCAGTCGATTTTTGGCAGAAAATACACTGCCTTTTTTTGAGGCCCGAGAAAAAAATTGTCTGAGATCGACCGGGAAAAAACTTTTTCTTATAGATTTTGCCCTGTAGAATCCATAATTTCAAACAGTTCCAAGATTGGACTACTAGTTCAAAAGTTACAGCCCTTTGAATTTTTTTTCGAAATTGGTTTCTAGTCCATAACTTTTGATTGAGAGATCTAATCGAAAAAGTACGAATAGTTTTGGATTCTACGCACCAAAATTAATAAGAAAAAGTGTTTTCCCGAGAAATTTTGGTGCAGTCGATTTTTGGCAAAAAAAGGAAGGTTATACACTGCCTTTTTTTGAGACCAGAGAAAAAAATTGTCTGAGATCGACCGAGAAAAAACTCTTTCTTATAGATTTTGCCCTGTAGAATCCATAATTTCAAACAGTTCCAAGATTGGACTACTAGATCAAAAGTTACAGCCCTTTGAATTTTTTGTCGAAATTGGTTTCTAGTCCATAACTTTCGATTGAGAGATCTAAGCGAAAAAGTACGAATAGTTTTGGATTCTACGCACCAAAATTAATAAGAAAAAGTGTTTTCCCCGAGAAATTTTGGTGCAGTCGATTTTTGGCAAAAAAGCAAGGTTATACACTGCCTTTTTTTGAGGCCGGAAAAAAAGATTGTCTGAGATCGACCGGGAAAAAACTTTTTCTTATAAATTTTGCCCTGTAGAATCCATAATTTCAAACGGTTCCAAGATTGGGCTACTAGTTCAAACGTTACAGCCCTTTGAATTTTTTGTCGAAATTGGTCTTTGCCCATAACTTTTGATTGAGACGTCTAATCGAAAAAGTACGAATCGTTTTGGATTCTACGCATCAAAATTAGTAAGAGAAAGTGTGTTCCCGAGAAATTTTGGTGCAGTCGATTTTTAGCAAAAAAGCAAGGTTATACACTGCCTTTTTTTGAGGCCTGAAAAAAAAAATTATCTGGGATCGATCGGGAAAAAACTTTTTCTTATAAATTTTGCCCTGTAGAATCCATAATTGGTCGTAAATGGTATCCAGAAAACGTCAGGAAATCCAATTTTCGTTTAGCTTTGAGGCACCATCACTTCGAGAAGGTCCGTACCAACTTATTTTTTTTAATTTTTTTATTTATGTATTTTTATTTATTGTCCCTCTTGTTCTAGGCCCTCAACGGGCTTACGCCCAATTACAGAGTGACCGGCATAATGGTTTTTTAGCATTGACTCTAGAAAACGCTAAAATTAAGGTATTGCATTTCTTTGTTCCAGTTCCAGTAATGATCGGCTTTTTAAGAAATTGCATTAAATTTTTTTTAATGAAATCAGAAAATTCTTAAAGGAATGATCTGGGGCCAGAGACCCCTCTCTAGGTCAAGGTTCGTATGCGTATTATATGAAGTTACAAAAATGGGAAATGGATGAATTTCCCTGATTGAAAAGGGTTCCTTACTGGATTTATGAGGCGTCAGCTTCCCTGATGTCAAGGTGTGCCTTTGTCGAAAAATGGATTAACTCGCCTTCGGCTGGCTCGGTAACGACATCTTTTGCCATGAAATTCATCAAATGAAATAAATAAGCTTGAGCACAATCATTGCCGAGCGAGCCGAAGTCTCGAGTTATTTCTTCGAGAATTTGAATTAAGCTTCATGACTCTAAACATTTCCATAATTGTGTAGATAAAATAAAGTGAGCTAGTAACTACTAGCTTTGGTGTGACAGAAGAAAGGTACACTGATAAAGTTAGTGGAGGTAATAACGATACAATTGCGTTAATTTTTAAGTTCCTAGTTTTCTATGGATTATTAGAGAATAGTGTCATGCACAATACGAATGGTGAGATAATTGTAGTCACGCACGAAGCGATTGTTAGCCGTGAAAGGCGCTCATTAAATATTCATCGGCCCTTTGAAACAGTCAACGATTTTATTGGAAAAACTTTATCGTCACCTTCATTCGACAAGATGCAGACGACGATTCGAGAATATTTGCGTAACAGCTCGTTTCATGGGATTCGCTACTTGGCCGAGCAGGATCGCCACTGGACTGAGCGGTTGTTCTGGCTGACGTGCTGCGTCGTCAGCTGGTTCTCTTCGGCGATGCTAATGCGGGCCGCCTGGTACGACTTTCACAACAACGCGGTCAGCTTCGTCGTCGAGACGAACTACCTGGACTGGGACACGCACTTCCCCACGGTCGCCGTTTGCGAAACGGACGCGCAGGACAACATCGCCGTGGCCAGTGACGCGTGAGTATCCTCGAGCGCGCGACGTTGAAGCTAAACGACCCGTAACAGGCTCTTCGGGAGTCCGCACGACTACAACCTGGATGAAATGATAGCCGAACTGGTCTTCTTCCGCGGCTTGGCCCACTACGTTCTGCAGCTCTGCAGCGATACTCCCCATCCCGATTGCTTTAGGTACAACTACAGCTTCTACGAAACCTTGGTTCGGCAGCCTTGCTCGACCCTGTTCCGCAAATGCAAGTGGAATCAGGAGGAATTCGACTGCTGCAAGTACTTCAGCAAGATTGAGACGGAATTGGGAACGTGCTACGCCATCAACTCTCTGCAAGCAAAGTGAGTGTGGCCTTATCCCCACCTCTGGAATTGACGTCGCAGAAGAGGGGTGGGGATAAGGTAAGGTGTCCTTTTACTACTTGCACTGATCTGAGACTTTCAGGGAGAAGAAGCCGCGTATTAAGATGATATCCAACAGACGCACGGGGCCCGGAACCTTTCACTTGCAGCTGTCTGGAATTACCGACGTAAGTACGTCAGCTCGTCAAGGCCAAAATCTGAAGCTCTATGTCCAGGTGTACCTTCTGAGTCACCAGGACGTGCCGTGCCTCACCACTCCCAAGTCTGACGTCATCCAGGTCGCGCCCCACATACGCTTCAAGCGGTCCATCGTGCTGGAGGAGATCGTGAACCAGCTGGAGGTGCGCCTTGGCGTTCTTAGGTAACCTTTGACAATTTGCCGTTTCAGGTTCGGGACGTCAGCGTGGAACAGCGGAACTGTCGGTTTCCGGAGGAGTCGGACCTGGCCACCTACAAGTACTACAGTTACAGCGCGTGCAACGTGGAGTGCCGCAAGGACGCCCAGTTGGCAAAGTGCAACTGCACCCATCACTACATGCCCAATACAGGTCTAAATTTCTCGCCCAACTTCCTCTCTTCCAGCTCGCGTACTTTCAGATATCAGCAAGCAGTGCGATATACGCGGATTGGAGTGCCTAAACCAGCACTACAACGATCTGGCCGTGCTGAGGGCGCACTGGGCGAACAGGCCCGGCCTAGTCTGTCCGTGCATCCCGAGCTGTACCGATATGGAGATGACGGTGATACGAGACGACAAAGTTGGGTGAGACCTCCCCCGTTGAAACCTTCGAGGTTGCTCACTCTGCGCTTGTAGAACCCACCACGATTGGGCGTCGGTCGAAATCCACCTGGAACGTTTGCCGAGCGAACGATTTAAAAGGACCGTGGTTAGGGGAAAGCTGGACTTGGTCGGTAAGTGCCCCATCAACACCTACGCGTGCCACGATTTTCTCGTTGCAGTATCGATGGGGGGCAGTGTCGGATTATTCGTCGGCGCCAGTCTTTTAAGCTTCGTGGAGGTGTTCTATTACTTCACTTTGCGAGCCATTAAAAAGTCGAATCATGAAGAGAAACCAGAAGAACCCGTTGAGGTCTTGCCCTACGTTGAGTAATTGGTCCGAATTCGAACTAAATTTACGTCGGCACCCGTAGAAAAATTAATTTTTCATGCATCTCAGAGCGTGATCGACACAATGTATTGTCAAATAAAGTTCCAAAGTGTGCCTATTCTTCAAATTCGAAATACAAACAAGAGTCGCTCTCCCAACGACGAGAGTAGCTCTAGGGTCTTCATTCATTACAAGAAAGGGAAAAGGGCTACTTCTTGTCCAATTTGCATTTTATAGTTAGAATGTAATAGTTTCAACTTGTTCTCTGCCTCTGCCGTAACTTTACCGGGTGACTCAATAAGACCGTTCTTCGGTCATATCTCGGGAACCGTTCGTCGTATGAAAAAATTATTGGGTAAATCGGTTATGAAGAATCGCTGGAAAATATTTTCAAGTTCTAAAAATGACCACCAGAGGGCGTAACTGCCATCTTAAATTTTAAAATTGCATTTTCTTTAAATTTCGCATAATAAACTAAACATTCTTTTTTCACATTTTTAAAGAGAACCAGTTTATCTATCATTTTCGTAAAAACAAAAACTCAGTTATTTCAAAAACAAAGATGCCGTGGAGCGTTCAATTGTTTTTGCAATAACCTGCTTTAACTTCTTAACCGTTTGACCGATTGTAACATTGTATCGTTGAAAAGAGCATTCCTTGGGCAATAAGGATCAATTATTCTCATTTTCCCAATATTTGAGGTTAGGAACGAGATTTTGAAAAACGATTTCACTGGCCTCTTTGGATGTTATTTGCCTACTTTTTCATAAAGAAAAAGCCATATCATTCCATTTGATTTTTTGTTTTTTTTTATGATTGTGAGTCATAGAGTCAAAACTGGCCCCCTGGCGGAGAAGGATTCAACTAAATTAACTATATTTTGGTTGATTCTCATTGTCCAAGGAATGCTCTTTTCAACCATACAAAATTTGTTAAAATCGATCAAACCGTTAAGAAGTTAAAGCAGGTTATTGCAAAAACAATTGAACGCCCCACGCCATCTTTGTTTTTGAAATAACTGAGTTTTTGTTTTTACGAAAATGACAGATAAACTGATTCTCTTTAAAAATGTAAACAAAATTTTTTAGTTTATGCGAAATTTAAAGAAAATGCAATTTTAAAATTTAAGATGGCAGTTACGCCCTCTGTTGGTCATTTTTAAAACTTGAAAATCTTTTCCAGCGATTCTTCATGACCGATTTATCCAATAATTATTTTTACCCCTAAGTCATATGACGAACGATTCTCGATATATGGCCGAGGAACAGTCTTATTGCGTCACTCGGTACATTGATATTGCGCTACCATCTTTCACGGAAGTGAAGACGGTTACGTAACCGCGCTCAGCATTCACACCAGACCAGACCTGGCTCATTGAAATAATATTTGCATACAAAGTACGGTTTCGAGACCCATCACATAACAGTATTCAAATAACTTCAAAGAGGCGTACCGCAAGGTTCCATTCTGGGAGCATTATTATCTCTATTATATAAAAATGAAACCCCATTTTTCTTGGTCGCGCCATGGTGTTGAACTGGACGAGCTGCGTTGACCAATTGCAGGTCGTCAGGATTCCAGGAAAGATGATCCGCCAGTTGGTTGTGCTTGCCAGGGCACTCCTGGAGGAGGAGAGCCAAACAGTTGAGCTTACTCCGGTCGTTTTTGACTCGATCCAGATTTTGGGTTCGGTACAGAAATGAAGCTATACCGCCGCCGTTTGCGTCGGTCTGGACAACAAAAGGTAACCGGAAGTCGTGGAGTGGTTGCCTGAAGACCTTGAAGGTTATGGAGAAGTCTGAAAACTGAGCTTTGCGCTACTACAAGCACTAATCACAATATTAATATAAGAAGTCGAAAAAACCAAGCGGGGAATAAAGAACTTGAGGGCCAGAAAAAAGGACAAAAAGAAGAAATAGAATACAAGGAAGATATTTAACCAACCGAAAACCGAAAGGAAAGGGAAAGCAACGAGTAGAACCAGGAGAAGAACCAGACTACAACAATAAAGTCGATAAGGAGGTGGTCGGATAAGAAGTGAAAAAGACGATAAAAATAAGAAAAGAAGAAAAAGAGACGAGAGAAAGAGATTACTGAGAAGAAGTAGTAACCATGGCAAGGAAGAGAAAAAGGGACTACCGAGTTGAAAGGGATTTTGTGGAAAAAAGAATAAGGAGGTATTGCAGAAGGTGCGGAGAAGTAAAAACAAATATGAATTGTGCACAACTCTTATGCAGATAAAGCACATTTTTTAACCGAAACCAGCTTTTGTTTTGACATCACCAATGGATATATTTCTTTCAGACGTCTCAATTGCCGTTTGTGAGTACCCTCTTCCGACAATCCGTTCTTGAGGTATAAGGGAATATACCCGATCACGATAAGAGGTCGAGGAGGAGGGCTATGGTTGGTAGAAATTAATTCCTTTCGTTGAGACCTTTCATTAGAGTATCATGAAGGATAAAACTAGCTCCACTCCCCTCCCCCCCTTCCCCACCGCCTCATACTTTGGTAAGAGGACAGAAAGAAGGGCAGTAGTTGGTAAACGGACCCTTTCGTTGAGACCTTTAATTAGAATAGAATGAGAGATAAAATTAATCCCCCCCCCCCTCAGGCCCCGTCGCTCACTGATCTGGAAAAAGAGTCGCAAGGGAAAGTTATAGTTTGTACAAACCAATTTATTTGTATGAAACCTATCATAAGAGTAGAACATGTGTTAACCCCTCCCCCCCCCCTCATTTTCTAAAGTTTAACTTGGCACCATAAAAGACATGCGTATGCAAGATCTGAGACCAATTCGTTGTCGTATGGAAAAGTTACGTTTTATTTTCAAAAACAGCATCTCAGGAAATAATTCGTGGGGGGAGGGGGGGGGGGCTTTTAGACAGCGAAATTTGATGGCCGTCTGGAACACCTTCAAGGTATAGGCTACCTACTGCAAAAAATTCCAGGAACCAGTAGTTCGAAAAGGCAGAAGTGGTTCCAGACGGACGGACGGACAGACGGACCGACAAAACGCAAACAATAGCACATTTTTTTTAATTCTTCAAAAATGCGTTAAAGAGCAAACTTTGGATAGAAGAATGTGACGATGATGGATATGAAAAAGAAAATAAAGGTATGGGGAGGAGCAAGAGAGATGCTATAAAGGGGAGATGGTAATGGTGGCAAGCAGGGAGGAAAGGGCAAATTCTACTAGCGCGGCATTATCCTAAACAAGGAGAGGCATGCGGATGAACAAAAGAAAAGAACAACAATAAGCGCGAAATGTGGAAGAAGTGGGTGGCAACGGACAGGAGAAAGGAGGTAGGTAAGTAGGAGAAAAGAGGATATATGTATGTAGGTGTGTTAAACAGTCAAAATATGGAAATAGAAAAGGAGACTAGCCTGTCTGGGAGTAGACTGGGACTACTATAGAGCCTTTTACACTTGGCTGTGGAATCATCAGATGCTCGGAAGGCTTCCATATACGGCAACGTTTAAAAATGGCCACGCGAATGATGATTCCCTCCAAAATTAAACAAGATCCCGTTTAAATTTGAAAAATGGCACGTGATCAAACACCTAAAGCAGGGCCCCCTTACGTTAGTTGTAAACAACGCTTTGACCTGAAGTACAGTAGAGAAGAAACGTAAAATAAAACACTGAAATTGTGAAAAGTTTGTTTAATAGTGATCGTTATTGTTAAGATTGTGAAATGTAGTTATATTAATGTAAGCAAAACAAGTAAATCCTAAAAGTGTCGTAGGTACTCTCGCAAAAGTAACTGCCAAGGGTAAAAAGAGTACGACGGAGAAAAACCTTGCAGTTGGATTAATACAGTCCAAAAGTTAGTTAACAAAATAATTTGTAAAATTATCAAGATTAAGCAGTGGTTAACAAAGATAGTAAATGCAAGTCTGTGAAATTAGCACGGTCATTAAAAGCACTAACGACGGTAGGTATTTGATCACATCTTTAGTGCTTCGTTAGTGCCTCTTAGTGCTTTATATCTAGCATCAGCACGACCGACCGATTTTGAGAAATCGCCCCCCCCCCTTGTGTAGTGCTGACTTCCTACCCTCGTTGCAAGAACTAACGACCGGACAAGTACATAATCTTTAGTGCTTCGTTAGTGCCTCTGAGTGCTGACAGTGTTGCACTCGTTGAAAGCATTAACTAATTTAGGTATTCCCGGTCGTTTTAGTGCTTTCAACGAGAGTAGAAAGTCAGCACTAGGTACACAATGGAGGGGAGGTCGATTTCTCGGAAATGATGCAAGTTATGAAGCACTAAGAGGCACTATAACGATTAGTACTTGTCCGGTCGTTAGTGCTTTCAACGAGGGTAGGAAGTCAACACTATAGGTAGGTACACAATAAGGGAGGGGAGGTCGATTTCTCGGAAACGTTCGGTCGTGCTGATGCAAGTTATAAAGCACTAAGAAGCACTAACGATGTGATTATGTACCGTCGTTGTGTGTGCTTTTAATGACCGTGCTAACTTCACGGACGTAGTAATAAATGCATATACAAATACACCAAGTTGGTTACACCCAAGGTTAAAAACAGTGGGTATCAGGTACCTAAATTCTGAGAAAGGGTGAATGGTATAAGATGTGATCACTCATATTTGGTGCAATAAAGTCCATTTGCTAGGAGCATCAAGATGGAAAATTACATGGCCTTGTAGGCAAATTCAACTAACGGCAAGATATGTGGAAATTGGCGAATCGCAACTCATTTATCGCACATAGATTTTAAACCGAAGAGTTTTGATTATAGCATGATCTTGCCCCCAATAGATAGATAACTCGCCCCTAGTTTCAGGGTTTCGAGCCTACAGTTGAATGTCGAAAACAATCACGGAATCAGGTGTCATAGCTCAAATGAGAGAGACACCTCTCGGCTACTTGGCGACAGGTATCTGGAACCGGGGACGGTGAAGCAACTTAAGCTAAACAGAGTCCTATCCTTTATTGAGAGGAACCAGGCTCTGGAACAGCTACAGGTTGTGAAAGAAAGGGGGTAGGAATGGACCGTTGGTGTGCTGCCTAGTCGTCTGTGAATAGATACATAGAATACAACCAGAGAAAGTCAATAGATGCCTTTTCTAGGACTCCAACCAAGACGTGGACATGTAGGTACACCTACCTATAAGGGTCTGAAAGGGAAGCCAGAGGAGCATCTCTGGTTAGAGAGGCAAAGGCTTTGCTAAAGATGTCCTCCAAGAGCTACAGACCTGTTTATAGTAGGAATCTTTTGACACCTCCACAGTATGGGCGGGCTCCAAGACATTTTACAGGAGGTATCAGGGGGAAGAAGAAACTCGTCTGGATCTAGTGTCAGCGTAAGTCAAGGAATACAGAAGAATGCTTCTAAGGGGATTCTAGGTACATCTTCAAAGACATTGAAATTCTAATGGAATTTTGACTAAAACTGGAGGGTACAGTAATAAGAGACTACCTCTGAGAATAATAAAAGATTTATCACCGATAAACCTTTTTATTTATAGGGGTCACATTTAAAGATAACCTTTAGCTTCCAATCTCAGCGACAATGGTCGATTCCGCGTAGGACAACGCTAAGAAAGCGAGTAGCAGGTAAGTACCTTTAAATGTTTCCCTCATAAGTAAAAAAATTAAAAATGCATTTTAACATAAAATACAATTAAAACTTATATAAAATACAATTCGTCTAAAAATCGCATTATCAAAAATAACTTTGAGGTTATACATTCCCAGCGGCAATTTTCTTGTCGGTCACGTACGCGTTGAGACAGTCGACAACTTTGGGCCAAATCTCGTCCGAAGTGCGCCCCTCGAAGTTCTGCACGATGTCCACCTTTTGATAAAATTCGATTACGGGCCGCGTTACCTCACGGTAAACGTCTAGTCGTCTGCGTACGACATCCGGTCGGTCGTCCTCGCGCTGCACCAGCGCCTCGCCGGTCACGTCGTCCTTACCCTACAATTAATTCGAGTTCACGGACCGGGGACGGCTGGGGGCTACGTACGAAAACTTTCGGCGCGTTAAAGTCCGAATTGTAAACGCGCCCGCTGGCCAAGTGGATCCATCGGCCTTTGGCGCGATCGACGATTACGTCGAAGGGAACGTCCAAGTTTATTACGATGTCGAGCTTGTGCAGGTCCCACAGCGAGTGGGCTTGTGCTAAAGTCCGCGGGAACCCTGAAATCAGCCCGTTTTATACCTTCACGAGGAGACCGCGAAAGCGTACCGTCGAGTAACCAACTCTTGTTCACTACTGCGAGTTCGCCCGCGACGAATTTGGTCATTAACGTGTCCGGTACGAGAGTGCCGCGATCGATGTACTGTTTCGCTTCGGTTCCCAGTGCTAAAAGCCGATTATTAGCCTACGGTGAATGCACCAGTGGGGCTCGGTTACGCGTCTTGTTTTTAATCTGCAGCCTGAGGCGGTCGCCTACTGAGATGTGCTCGAAGTTGAATTTGCTTATGATTCGTGAGCTTATTGTCCCTTTTCCCGAGGCGGGTGCCCCCAATATCACAGCTTTGAAAAGTTGTGCCATTATGGACGAATTCGGCGTTAACTGCGCGCTAAATTAGGGACATCTTGATTGGATTTTTACCTTTGTCCTTTCGAACAATAAGTAATTATTATTCATTGTTTTTTTGTTTGTAGGACAAGGACACAGGTGACACTGCCGTGTCTCTTGTGACGCGTAGATCGTAGACACAACGCATTGGCGTAACAAGAATGATACGAGGAGGGTGAACACAACCCCTGAGATCAAGAACCCAACATAGAAGCGTAATTGATCCCAAACCCCCTGAGCCCGACATATTCTTGAATTCATTGGAATAGAATTAGTAAGAGAAAGGGGGTAGAGTTCTCTGATTCTAACCCTATGAACTAGAGGATAAGGGTCCCTGGTGGGAAAGCAGTGCATGGAGTTTTCTAGAAAGGGTCTCCGGCAGTGGCCATCTAAAAAGCACGAACGGGGGTTACGTTACGTTTGGCATCTAGTCTCGAATGGTTGTCGTGAACGCGTCGCTCCATAAATGTTTGTTGTTATTTTATGTTTTTTAGTGCAGGTAGTAATCTTTGCATTTCTTTCAATCGTATTTGTGTGCCACATTTTATATTTTGTGTGTTTGAATCTTTGTTTTTGAAATTTACTTGGTTTAACCGCAATGCAGAATCACATATATGATACCGTTATGCTGTTGTTTGTAATTGTTTAGGTTTTTGGTGTAATGGTGTAATTAGTTTATTGATGTTGATTACTTGGTCTTGTCCCTGAAATAACATTCATATAAGTTTTGATCATTTTATTTTAATATGTGGAAATTACCCGATTCGTTTGATGTATGTACTGACTTGTTGTTTGTTTAAAGACACTAAAGATACTAAAGACATAATTTTTGATTGAGAGTTCCAATCGAAAAAGTACGAATCGTTTTGGATTCTACGCACCAAAATTAATATGAAAAAGTGTTTTCCGGAGAAATTTTGGAGTAGTCGATTTTTGGTAAAAAAGGAAGGTTATACACTAGCTTTTTTTGAGGCCGAAAAAAAATTGTCTGAGATCAACCGGGAAAAAACATTTTCTTATAGAATAGTTTGAAGATTGGGCTACTAGATCAAAAGTTACAGCCCCTTGAAATTTTTTTCGAAATTGGTTTTTTGTCCATAACTTTTGATTGAGAGGTCTAATCGAAAAAGTACGAATCGTTTTGGATTCTACGCACCAAAATTAATTTGAAAAAGTGTTTTCCCGAGAAATTTTAGAGTAGTCGATTTTTGGTAAAAAAGGAAGGTTATACACTTGCTTTTTTTGAGGCCGGAAAAAAAATTGTCTGAGATCGACCGGAAAAAAATATTTTCTTATAGAATTTGACCCGTAGAATCCACAATTTCAAACAGTTTGAAGATTGGGCTACTAGATCAAAAGTTACAGCCCCTTGACATCTTTTTCGAAATTGGTTTTTTGTCCATAACTTTTGATTGAGAGGTCTAATCGAAAAAGTACGAATCGTTTTGGATTCTACGCACCAAAATTAATTTGAAAAAGTGTTTTCCCGAGAAATTTTAGAGTAGTCGATTTTTGGTAAAAAAGGAAGGTTATACACTTGCTTTTTTTGAGGCCGGAAAAAAAATTGTCTGAGATCGACCGGAAAAAAATATTTTCTTATAGAATTTGACCCGTAGAATCCACAATTTCAAACAGTTTGAAGATTGGGCTACTAGATCAAAAGTTACAGCCCCTTGACATCTTTTTCGAAATTGGTTTTTTGTCCATAACTTTTGATTGAGAGGTCTAATCGAAAAAGTACGAATCGTTTTGGATTCTACGCACCAAAATTAATATGAAAAAGTGTTTTCCCGAGAAATTTTGGAGTAGTCGATTTTTGGTAAAAAAAAGGAAGGTTATACACTTGTTTTTTTTTAGGCCGGAAAAAAAAATAGTCTGAGATCGACCGGGAAAAAACATTTTCTTGTAGATTTTGGCCTGTAGAATCCATAATTTCAAACAGTTTGAAGATTGGGCTACCTGATTTCAGTGATTTTTAAAGATTCCACTTGTACCGCATCATAGTGAAAAAGAACGGAACTAAAATGCGGTAGAATGAAGCGCTTTTAGATAAGAAGCGATCGAGTGTGCAAGCAGATTCAAAACAACACACAGCGCTGCCGATTCTAAGGATCGTTCTTATGTTGCACGAGGGACAAATTTTCTCCAATACTCTTACATCCATAAAAACGTGGTCGAAGCCTTGGTTTGCGTCTGGCCTGTTTCGGTTTTTGGACTTAGTAACTACATTAGGAAAAATTGGGTGGGAGAGAAGGACTTCTCTGAACCTTCAAAGCGAATTAATGCAAGTAGAGTGTGGTACGTTGTATTTTTATTGGGAAAGTTGAAGTTAATTGCCCAATACCACGAGTAAAACTAGTTACTAGATAAATCGAACATTTAATCCGTGGCAACTGAATTAATCCAAATTACATAACTTTTGATATCCACATAAACATCCGGTTTGCCACCAACGCACGTACCTCCAAGAGAGAACATACCAACTAGACTACCGTTTTTTACCAATGGCGCCCCTTCGCCCAAGGTGCACCCTCCAGCGGCGTAATCAGTGCAGAGGTTCTGAATCGTCACAATGTTAACCGACCAACGGCTTTGACAGTCTGCAAGTGACATTACACTTTTATTAACGTAGCGTAGAGTTGCGGAAAAAGGAGGTGATCCATTACTCATATTCCATGAGTAGAATATGCACGGTTCCCCGGGGTAGGTGAAATCATTCGGTAGCGGAACAACGCGTGTTTTGGGGGCGGTCAGCATACTCCCCACGGTCTTGATCAAGCCAACGTTGTCCGCTAATGTGGAGTTGTCGAAGTACTGGTGGGTGATCAACTGTACGGCTCGGAAGATGGCACCTCCATAGTGTAGATGGATTGAGCCAACAAAAACCTGAAGGTTGCTCGGGACGTCGCTGCAATCTATCGATGAGCACGAAGCGTGTGATTGCGATGTACTTACTGTTTAATACACCTCGCTGTAGTAAGCACGTATTTCGGTCTAATTATACTCCCTGCGCATTTGTGACTGTACCCACATAGCACACCAAGTGCTGTGTATATACGCAGTAGATACGAGATATACCGTACGTTCATAGTATGTACATAGTATACAGTTGCAAAGTACATTCCTTAGTGCATGTGCATAGCACATGCTCATTAGAACTGGAATTGTAGATATGGATCGAATGTACACTGTAGGTACTTAGTATATCAACTAGTGAAAACAATTTTTTAATGTTTTGCTTCATTTTATGTACAAAATTTGAACAGTTTTCAAACACATAGTTATCCTTGCCATTTGCGCTAATAATGTTGTATTTTTTGGCAATCAGTTATTCAATTATTGCCATTTACAATTTTGCATCAAAGCATATTAAGAAAACATATAAACAACATAAGAAATTATTTTCGGCAACTCGCTGTTACGATTATGTACTATTTTATTTATTAATGCGACTGTTTAAACATGCTTATTAAAAAACTTGAATAAAAACAAAACGTTATTAATATTTAAAACTGCCGCGTTGATCGTTTCGCAATGTTATTAACGTGTGGCGCTGCAAGCACCCTGTCAAAACCGCGACGGCTAAAGCGCGTTGTCGTTCTCCAACTCCATCAATAAACAAATATGGTCGCCACACATTGAATTTCTTTTAAATTTTTGTGTGGTGTTATCTGAATTAATTGTAAAGGTGAGTTTAATTTTCATATGCGACTTAGCTCACTTTTGTAATATCATATCATTAAAGATGCCTTATGTTGCTGTAGTGAATCCTGACGAATTAAGTTAGGTTAGGCCAATTTTACTACCATTTATACATTTTATTCTCTTCAATTTCAATTCCAAGTTGCTGCTTGAGGTATATTTTTATTTACTGCATATGTAGGGCAGTATGATGTCATACAAACTAAGTGTGTGTTACTGTTGGCGTACTCGGTGTATCGAACGACTGCTCTTTTGTAAAAGTATTCGTTACTCAGAAGACGAGACACAAGTTAATATTTACTGCAATTTTACGTACATGTACTCGTTTCCAACAATTGGATCTTTTCGGCTCATGACGCATTCTGTGCTTATTATGTTTTGAGCAATGATTATGAGTAAGTAATACTGTTCGGAAACCAACCTAAATGTAATGAATACTCAAAAATAACGAAAGTTGACAATAATAGCGACACTATAGCGTTTGTGATTTTCATTTCCCTTTTAGTTCGTTTTTGGTATGGATCGATCAAAAAAAAAGAGGCGTAGTTATTTGATTCGTAAACAACTTCACAATGCTGTTGCACTTTTGGAAGTGGATGCAGTGGCAACTAACCGTTCACAGAGTCATTCATTTTTTTGTGATTCAACCACGGCAACTGAAGATATTGCTGAATATTCTGCTTCTAGTTATACTGAATATGATGATGGGCAATCAGAAATAAGTGATAAAGCTGCAGAGTCACTTTTACATGTGCAAGAGAATTCTTCCAGCTCTGATAGTTCTGTCAGTTCAGTAATTTATAATTATAACACTCCACAAGAAAATGAACTAGATTACACATCAAAATTACGGCAATGGGCATTGGAGGAAAATATCTCGCATAAATCATTGAACAAATTACTTGTTCTTCAAAGAGAGCACAATTTAACTGTACCAAAAGACGCACGCTCGCTTCTTAGGACACCTCGTACTGTAGCAATGAAAAAGCTGGGTTCTGGGCAGTTTTATTATTTCGGCATCAAAAATACTTTGCTGCAATTAATTGAACATAATAATTTATCAATTAGAAAATCGTTTATTTTTGAAATAACAGTAAATTTTGATGGACTTCCTTTAAGTAAGAGCAGTAATTCCTCATTTTGGCCCATTCTGATCGGATTTGAAAATTTTGAGCCACTTAAAAGAGTTGTTGCCATTGTTGGACTTTATCATGGTAATGATAAACCTAGTGATAGTAATGCTTTCATATCAGATTTTGTAGAAGAATCAAAACTGTTACATAAGGGATTTACATTGCAATTGCAGGAATGTTTTATTAAAATTGTCGCTGTAATATGTGATTTACCTGCAAAATCTTTTATTTTACGTACGAAAGGCCACAACGGTTATTTTTCCTGCTCAAAATGCTTACAAGAAGGGGATTATATAAACGGAGTTATGTCTTTTACTGAGGTGAATTGCAATAAACGAACAGATTTGAGCTTTCGTAAACGGTCTCAGGAGGAGCATCATATAGGTTTCAGCCTAATAGAAGAAATTCCAGACTTTGATATGATTAGAAATGTACCAATTGACTACATGCATTGCATTTGTTTAGGAATCGTGAAGAGAATTTTGGCATCTAAAAAATTTGGGATCATTTTTGGAAAGCCACCTCACAAATTACCATTCCGAAAAGTTAGCATGTTTTCTGCTGCTTTTGTAAAAATAAACGAAACTTTGCCGTTGGAATTTGCAAGGAAGGCCAGAGTTTTCAATGAAGTAAAACGTTTCAAAGCTGTTGAATTTCGTTTGTTTATTTTATACGCTGCTCCAATAATTGTCCGAAAACACTTGCAACGTTCGTATTCCAAATTGATTATGATATTACATGTCATAGTGACTGTTTTATGCAGCACCAGAAACATTCGGAAGATTGATGTAGTTAATTATATCACAGATTTAAGCAATCGCTTCATTACTTTGGCAAAAAATATTTTTGGTTACGACTTTATCTCTCAAAATGTACATTTGCTAACACACATTGTAGATGATGTAGAATTTTTTGGAGCATTGGATTCCTTTAGTGCATTTAAATTCGAAAATCATATGCAGTTCTTAAAAAAAATTGTCCGTAAAGCCGATAGACCATTACAACAAGCAGTTAAAAGAATTTCAGAAATAAACAGTTTGCCAAACGTTTCTGTAAATACAAGTGACAGTGAAACATTAATTATACATAATGCTCGTTTAGCTAAGAATTCCAATTTTACATTAAAAACAAATCAAAAAGATTGTTACGTGTTACTATATTCCGGAGAGATAGTTAAAATTACTGAATTTTGTAAAACCGAACATTGTTTTGTTGCAAAAAAGTTTGAAATATTATCAGATGTTTATAAATATCCCTGTAGGTCTTCTTTTCTAAATATTTACAAATGTGAACATCTTGAAGAAAACGCTGTATCCTACCCAATCAGTGCAGTAAATTTGAAACTTGCGATATTCCGAGAAGAGCATTACTGTGTTGCAATTCCATTGGCACACATTCCTTGTCCAAAATAAAAAAGGAAAATGGAAAATTATGGTTGGCTGGTTGTTGTTTTTGATACTGACAAAAGCATTGAAGCAGTTCCATCGAATTGGTACAACACCACCACCGACAAAGTCTATTTTCCAACAACTAAAGATGTTAAAAATATTAGAAATGCGATCGAAACTGCTGTAGAACCTTCATCTACATGGCCCAGCTATAAAGTTAAAATACTTTCACGTTGTGGTAAGTTATTTAAATATACACATTCCAAAATTAATGTAGGCATTGCAGATAATTTTGCGCAAGCGGATAGACGTGCTGCACGTGGTACAAATAGTGATAATGTCTCATCACATGGTGAAGAAATTGGAAATACCTCGGGAAATACTCGAGTTCGTAAACCTCCACTACGTTATGCATCTGAAGCTGAAACTAGTTCCGAGAGCTACCAAAGTGATGGTGGTTCATCTAGGGCAGCAACTCCGCCGTTAAGAGTGAATGACAGTGTTCATTCTCAACGGACCAAAAAAACGCTTCTGTCTGCCAAGGGCCAAAAACAAACCAATTCGTCGTATGGTAAGCTTGTAATTAAATACATATTTATGTGATACAATTTTTAATTAAAGCTTCTAATAATTAATTTTATTAAAACAAATCAAACCCTGTTTTTTAAATTTTATTTTGTTTCTTATTTTATTTAAATCAAAAAAATGTACGGGTCAAGATCTTTACGATGGAAATACAATTCCTCATCCACAACGACGTACATTACTTGATGATCGCACAAATACGCAATCAGTAGAAAGATGTATGCAAATTAAAAACTTGTTGATCAATATTTTGAGTTTTATTGCAATGTTTCATAGATGCTTCCATGAACACTCCCACAAATTTTGAATCATCAGCTGGAAATTTGCAACGTAAAACGTTTCGCCATGGTAATCTAATGCTAATATGATTAGTTTTTGTCTTAATTGTATATCTCTCAATAGAAACCGACACTGAAAATCAAATTTTCAATTTACTCAGAGATTTACAACGGCGTGTGGTTAGAATGGAGCTGAAAATTGATCAACTACAAGAAGGAATGGATCGCCAAATTCTACTTTCTGCTAATAATGTGATTAACGAAGACGTATTTAAAGATATTAAAGAATTTCTTCCATTAAAAACAATTCAACAACTTGTAGATTTTGAAGAGCTCCTGAAGCTGAAGTTTGATTCAGCGGTAAGATGATTTATAGTTTAAAAAAATCTTATTTTTTCCTTTTAGGCAAAATTGCTTGGTTTAGAAGGAGGTGAAAATGTGAAACATGCCACAAGAAATGTGATGCGACAACTATTTTCAGATGAATTTTCTAAAGGTTTTTCCTGGAAAGGGGCCAAGGGAAAGAAAGCATTAAATTCATATGAAAGAACTGCACAACTTATTATTGGTAAGTATTAATAAAAATAATTGGGGGTTGTTTATAACAAAACTGTTATTTACAGAATCTGTGCGTCAAAATCAGAAGACATCTAATGCTACATCTTCTGATATAATTGCGGCAGCAAAGTATTATCTAGTAAAGTCGACGGAACGCCTAAAAGTAAGCTCTTTATAATATAAATGATACAAAAATCTTACATAAATACATCGGAATGTATATGTTAAACATATATGCACGCTAATACGTATATATAGGTACATATGCATGCATGAATTGTCCTAAAGTTATACTTTTGATCTGCAAATGTGCTTTGCTAATTATTTTTGTTATTTGGTTACAGAAAAAAGAAGCGAACGTAATCAACAATGCAGAGATATAATAGCAACATAACAATCAACGGTATAGATATAATTAGATACTCATATCTTATAATGTATTTTACTGTGCAATATATATTTTTTGACAACCACCCTTTAGTTATTTACATTCCCACCCATAATGTAGGTAGGTAATAATACAGAGTATATACCAGGCATATTCTAGTAGCACGTGCTAATTATCACACAGAATATACTATGAACGTCAATCGTATATACGTTTAGTAGCTTCTAAGTACCTACTTTGGTGGCTAAAATGTGTAGTACTATGGATGTGCATTGCACATGCGCCATTATAATACTGCACCTACAATGCACATGCGATGTTCCAAGGCGCACATACTATGAATTTACTAAGTATATACGGTGGCTATGTGGGGATTTTTGCCCAAAAATGGCGGAAGTTACCAGATTCTAGTAATTTTAATGTTAGGGATTGTTCCACCTGTTTGGAGATATCTGTATATATTTTTATAAAACATGACAGTACTATGAAGTTAGGTTATGAAAAATGACAGCTATTCAGATTTTATTTGTCAATTTTTTTAAGTTGGCAGCAAATTTGCCCAAAAATGGCGGATGATTGCGGTACTTTCTATATCTAGTGATTTTACTATTAATATGTCGGAAGTATTGCATCCGCTGGCCTAGGCCTATGAAACTGGCAAGATTGAGATTGTTTTCAAATTTACATCGCAAAACCAAACATTCCAGTAGAACACCAAGTAGTATTGACCAAAACTGCAAGGATTTGTTTTACCCCATCGTTTATTAAATATTATCAAAAAAAAGGTACCTAACTCTTGATAAGCAGTGTCAGCATCTGCAGCCTCCATGTGTCATAATTCGATACAAAAAACTGGTTGGGGTACAAACAGAAAACAAGGTACCTTGCTGTACAACAGGTTACTCATTTTGTTAATATCAAAATGGAAAATTACAAGTCCTTGCAATATTAGGTGTCGAAACTAATGTGGTTACAGTTTTTTTTATTCCCGTGACTTAAGGCGAAAATAGTTACTTTACAAACAAGTCCATACAGACATCAAACTTCAAACATTTCCACGTTTAAAAGAATGATCGAAATTTATAAATTTAACTTTGGCCAAGACCATATATAAAACAAAAGCATAAATTGAGTAATATTTACACCACGTTTTTTTCACATACACGTGATGCATTAAGAATATTAGATTAAATCATCACAATATCAAAGAGAATTTAAAAAAATATAAAATGTTGCAATCATTCCCAAACTTGCATTAAATACCACAAAAATAATATCCAACTTTTACGGAACCGCCATTAAAAACAAGATATCGTCATCACGCTTACGTAGCAAGCGTATTCCTGATCGAGACTTTATAGAGTTTCGATTCGTTGATGTGTATGTTGCTTCCTCATCTCGTGCGGTCTGCTCTTGTGTCTTAGCATTAGGTACCTACAAGAAAGGGGGACTCTAATTAACTTTTCTTCTGTTTAGTATGTGGTTATAGGTATAGCCGTTTGTGATAGTCGATTTTACCATAAATATGCTTGCGTGTTGAACCGTACTTTTCGCGCCTATAGAGTCATGCCATTTTGATGTACTGGTTTGGGTTTATGTACATGCAATTTATCATTTTACCAGTTGTTTGATGTATTCTTGTGCTGAATCGATTCATCTTGTTTTCCATACCTATTGTATTTCGCTCGTGTAACTTGTATCTCATTTTTGATCGCACGGTATGTATGGTACCTACCTAATATATTACATTTGTCTTGTGTGTTTTCTTACGCACAAAACATTTCGAGATAGATAAGTTAGTGATGACTCGCTGCGTGTAATTTTTCCTGAGTTGCCAAAAAGTATTAGGTAAGTCACAGACCATCAACGGGTACCTAAGTTAAGATTGCAGTATTCGATTCGATGAAGGACCACTAAGATCACCACATGATAACTGATTGCAAAAACAAGTTAAAAGCATAAGTTATGTTTGGGATACAAAGCAGGTAAAATGCGAGGTAGCTGTACAACAGGCAGGACCGGCTTTAGGCGTAAGCGGCGTAACCCGCCGCAGACAAGAAGGGGTGCAAAAATGACTGACCGACCAAGGGCATAAAATCCATACACGGAAGTCATATTCGTAAATAGCCATAGACATCTAATACTCATTTGTTTATGTAAATAGCAGACGCGTTCTCTTCGGAAAACTTTGCTTTTCAAAAAATAGGAATTGGCGGGATTTGATAGGCGGTACGAAGTTCGCCGGGTCTGCTAGCAATAATTGTTTTAAATATGAACCTCTATACAAGCCGTTAGGTAATAAATGTGGGGGGTGATAGTACCTACTGGTCAAAACAAGACAAAAATGCAAATATATGCCTCGTCTAAAAGGCGTCGTTTTCTTTATACAGGGTGGCAACGAAAATGTAACACCCTGTATACCCCCACCAACTATTTTGATACTTTATTGTAGCATTGAGTTAAATCCTTCACTCAACGATTGTACAGATTCTAAAAAATAATTGATGTATCTGTTTGGTTTTCAAAGCATATACGTGATTCATTAGAAGTGAGGACAATTTGAATTTCCCGCAAATCAACAAAATTTTGAAGTTGGTACTAACTGATGATCATTTATTTAATTGCAGTGGTGTATCATCGTGCTTTCAGTAAATCGTTCACTTATTTATAACCTACAAATACTGCTTCTGTTTTACCACAAATTATAAACTAACACTACATACAGTCATGTTTCTTACATATTTTAGTGCATCAACTCTAAAAATTGTTCAAAATGGAAAAAGTAATAAACCGCAAATAGCACACAACAATTAACGGCGACACTGGTTTCTTAAGTGACAGTCATGACAGAAAAAAATTACTAACCAAATTCAAACCGTCAATCTAATAATGCAAAAAATACTAAAACCTTACGCGCGAAATTCAAGCGATCATCACTTCTAATGAATCACCCGGTATAATATTATAATGACATTATTTTTGCCCATTCTAATCTGCCAGGGTCGAGTAGATAACGGCATCGCATTTAAGTCCGTCGCCAAATAAGGTCGTTTTCGTTTATTTAGGTATACAATTTTAAATTTTCTGGCTACGTGTTAAAGGCAATGAAAATTCGCTCAGTTGAAATTTAAAAAAAGCGAATAACGAAACTGGGAGTTTCATGATAATCAATCTTGCATTTCCCTAACGTCATTCCGTGATCTTGTCCCTTTTCCTTATCGCCTTTGTGCGGAGAAAACTCTCTAAGGGTAAGCTGCAAAAAAAATTAGAATTACAGTCCATTTCACTATAAAAACGATACCAATTTTTCAATTGATCCAATTTTAACAATTATCACAGAACATACGAGAGAACGCGCAAAATCCGAGAAAAAAATTCAAACTTTGCCACCCTGTATAACGAAATTGAAACCCTTTAGACCACGCACATATTTGCATTTTTAGCGCATTTTTTAAGAATTAAAAAAATGTGGTATTGTTTGAGTTTTGTCCGGTCGTCCAGGACCCAACTTCTTGCCGTTTCGAACTACTTTCTATAGGGGAGTGGTCCTAGAGTCCTTTGTATTTTTTGCAGTAGGTAGACCTATACTTTGAGGTGTGCCAGGCGGCCATAACATTTCGCTGCTAAAAAAAGCCCACCCCCCCCCCCCCCCACGAATTATTTCCTGAGATGCTGTTTTTGAAAGTAAAACTTGCATAACTTTAGGAAATAGGAGGGGAGGGAGGGGTAAACACATGTTCTACCCTGAATGGAACCGTTTTCTACCAACTACTACCCTTCTTTCTGTCCTCTTATCAAAGTACGAGTTGGGGGGGGGGAGTGGAACTCCTTTTATCCTGAAGAGGGTACCCCACAAAGGGCGATTGAGACGTCTGCAAGAAATATATCCATTGGTGATGTCAAAACAAATAATAACATTGTATAATTTGTTCGTTCATAAGTTCAGATCTAATAAAGAAACCTTGTTATGTTCTTGTGTTCTACCATCCAGAAATTATAAAAGTGTTATTTAGATAAAAGTCAGGAAAATGACACATTACTGGCCAAGAAATATCAACGTGGCCCCTTTGGGGCCGAGTACTTTAATTTCCGAGTTTTGTATTAAATTTTACCCCAAATCGTATTTTAATATAAAATTTCAATTTTTATATAGAACTTTTGATTAATGTCAATCTGTCAGTGATGACAGGAGTCATTATAGACATTTACAAATGTCACAAATGCGGCCGGTAAAGTGACGATGCGGCCGGTACAGTGACAAGCGACAGGAAACGTAGTCTGCCCGCCATAAAAACTCTAGTTGTTTTTAAAATAAAAATTTTTTCAAGGAACTATTTTATAAATTTAGGCCTTTATCTACAAAATGTTCGGACTATTTTTTTTTAAAGTGTATAGCAACTGAATATCGATTGTTTAAAGATTACCTGTTTTGCGCCGATTATTGCGCTAATCTGTTTCATTTTTTTACTCGCGATCAAGACGATTTATGGAAAAAGTAAACCGACAGTTTTTTAGATAAGTTCCTTCTAAACATTACCCCAAAAAATGAAATCATATTTTTTGTAAATAAAGTCTGTATCTTGGCGGGCGGTAAATCAACAATTTCAGTGTAACAAGTGGCGCCGCTGCTCAGTCTCGGCAGGAACTAGTTAAGGACTAAGACAGGAGTTGACAAAGCAAAAATATCATCTTGTCTCTTGCAACTATAATCGTCTATATACTATAATGTAAAAAAGTTGCGCTTGGGTAAAGAAGACTCTTAACGTTCGACGTGCTTATAACATTTTTTGCGCCATCGAAATTAAAATTATGCAACCAATATAACTATGCACTAAGCAATTAACGAGCAGAATAAATCGAATTGATCGAAGTGGTATGGTGTACATCACTAGGCAACCAGTTTAAATGTCAAAATTGAAATTAATAATTTCATAAAAATGTGCATGTGTCTGATGTAGTTTACTAGCTTTGCACTTCCTTTATGACTTTATGAGCGTCTTGCTATAGGAAACAACGGCACAAATTTTACGTTTAATGTACCTAATAATAATTAAAGATTAAATGTAATGTAAGACTGTTGATTTT